GAGGGGAGTGAGTGAGCAGCTGTCTGGTCCTAGTAGCCAACTGCCAGGTTAAACCACAACAGATTTTTACGACTGCTCTGGAATGAGATGACCCTTATTTCTCTAAATACCAATTTGAGGAGAAAATTTCTGCTACTAGTGAGCTTTTCAGTATGACAGACTAGGGTGTAAGAAAATGGATTTCAAGTTAAACTACACAAATTCCAATTTAAAAACACAACATCTGCTTTCAACAATGTGGGAAATTAACAGTTGGACCAGCTTATTTAGGACATTATTTTATTAATGGAGTCAATACTTAACATGATTCTGAGGGGTTGCTTTGTTGTTTGTTTTGGGGTTTTTTTTTTACACTTTAGCTCCACCAGATGTTATAAACGCAGTGAAATTCTGATGCTTGTGTTATTTGGGTCAGTCTGGGTGATAACAACATTAAAAATGGAAGAGATCATCTCTATCCCCAGAGTGCCATCGAGCTTTCACGGAGATCTTCTCGAATAACTATGTTAAAAGACCGAGGACAGGGTCCCTGGTCCCTCGCCTTTGTGTATATGCACATTGGATTAGATTCTAACAAGGAACAAGCAGGCTCCTTTTCCTCTCACTCCAGCTAGTGCCTATCTTTCTGCAGGGTTTTACCTGTCAAAAGCCCAGACATTACCACATTAGAGAAAAGATGTTGGCAGGAGGGACGCCTGAAAAGTCTCCTGTGCCCAAAAGGTCCCCCACGGCTCTCGTCAGGCGCCCTGGCAGAGCGCTGATGAGAGGCAGCGCCTTAGACCAGGACACGCTGGACGTCAGCTCTCACCGAGCCCAAGGACCACTCGGGAGTCCCCACATCTCAGAGCCCGCTCCAGACAGAGGAGGAGCCTGGCTGGATCTCCATGACCCAGTTATGGACCACATACTTCTAAGAATAACTTCCACATCAAGCGAGGAGAATTTTCTTCTCCCTTCCCCATAAACATATCCTTTACCCTCATTACATTTTTATTCAGACATCCCTCAGCACGAGTGCCAAACAAACCTTTTAAGAGACTTGAATTTCTTCAGCATGCCCATAGCCAGGAGCGTATGTGTGTTCCCCTATCTCAGACAATGCAGAGCAGACACAAAGAGGAACCCTCTTGACAGGATGGATGCCCGAAGAAGCACACACCGGAGAAAAGACGGCAGAATAGCTGAAAGGAGCCTGGGACAAGAACCCCAGCTTCTATAATCGTGGGCTGTTCACCGAGACAAAAAATCTGCAGAGAAGCCAACGAGGTCAAACATCCTTTCCCCTCATCCACTCATTTGATACTAATGACTGGGAAAGTTTGCATTCATGAAAGGCACAGTCGTAGCACGTGCCCTGAAAATACAATCCCCCCAGCCTTTGTCCAAAGCAGAAATTCCTACACAAATAAAACAAATCTTCAAGGGGGCAAAAAAATAGGGCTTACAACAAAATTTTTCAACAGATCCTCAGCTAGAGCAGCACTAGTGGGCGCAGCTATAATTACAGCAAACCTACATAATGCGTCTGAACTAGCTTAGCCCTTTCCCTGCAAGCAGAGAAGCTGCCACATCAGTAACTCCGTTGCTAGGGCAACTGCTTACTTTCCATATCAACTGCAAACTCGTTGCTATGGAGACACATATACAAGAAAAATTCCTCTCTATAGCCAAGGACCAGATGGTAGGGAAGTCAGGGGAGTCATGGGCTAACGGGTTGTGCTAAATGGGACACACACTAGAGGACATTTAGATCTGTACATTCACAATAGGATTAATCTGAATGACTGAAATCACAGGTCCGGCAGTATCAGCAAAGCCAGGGAACTCCTCATCTACTCCCAACCATGTGATACTTCGTACTCCAGCCAACTATTATTAAACTGCTGAGCTCAATGCACAGAGGTTTGTACAATCAAGGGCTCAGCACTTTCCCTTCTTCAGCCTGGCTCTCTGGTTAGATCCAGGAGATCAGCCTCATCGCGAAGTTACACGAATAGTCACTCTGTCGGCTTGCCAGGTAAGCCTGCCGGCATTGCAGCCAAAGTGGAACAGCAGCAGTGCATAAACAAATCCAAGGAGAAAAATGCCTTTTCCCAGCGTTCAACATCAGACCTAAAAGCACCGGGACAGGGCAAGTCAAAAACTAAAGTGATGCAGCCTGTAAGTCTTTTATTTTTCTCCCCCTCTCTTACAAGGACCTTGCATCACGAAACACAAGCACTGGTATGCAGGCAGAAAAAGCTGCATACTATTAAATACATATTCAGCCCCATGAATATAAATTAGTGGAACCCAAAATTGAGAAAGCTACTACGCAGAGGGAATTCAAAAAAGAATTAAGCGTTCAGCAGAACTTTTTTTAGAAAAACGATTACTGAAAGGCTACACAAACAAACATTGGAAAGCACAACTACGAGAGGAAAAGCTTCTAGCTTTTCACAATGTGTCAACGCACATCAACTGGCAAATGCCTGCAATTCCCAGCCCTGATTAACTCCTTCTCCCCACACTGTACATGTTTCAGAGCCTATCTTGTTAGCATTTTATAACATGCCATTTGCTAAATGCTTTTCTTTCCACTCAAAAACAGTAAGACAGGCAGACTCTAAACTTGGCAATCTGCAGAATCTGGTTGCAAAAGGGAAGCAGTGGCACGAAATGATTCCTTACGGAGCTGAGTCCCCCCTTCCCCCACCCCAAGCCCCAGCCCACAGCCAGAGAACCCCTGAGATGGACACCTTCCTTCCGAACAGCAGAGATGCTTGCTGCCAGGTACTCGAACCAATCCCAAGTGTGCGTGTGCACACATACACGAAGGTATTTTCAAAGCCAGCAGTTGACGTTTACTGCTTTCCAAGTCCACAATTAGCTGTCAAGCACCTGATTCAGCAACTCTGACTGAGCGCCAGTTCTGCGCTTGGGACTCTGCCTGCCACGTCCCAGGACACCAGAAAAACCCAGCAGGGGATTTAAACGACCTACCTTGGTGCATTTTATGTTTGAGATTCTCATCTCATTCACCTTAATGCTGGCTCCCTGCAGTTATCAGCATCTCCAGAAGATGGAAGAAATTCTTTCTCCTAACCTGGGATTTTCCAGGAATGACTAAAACCCCACCTCGTTATTCACAGAGGCAAGGCCTCCCACCACACCTTGTTGTCTAGCTATGTAACCATGGCTCTAATCACAAACTTGAGACACAGGTGACTAGTCACGCATTGTGCTCCGCCACTTCTCTGCGGAGAAGCACCGCGTCGTGGTATTGTTCACACGAGCTCAGCAGACTGCCGGATATTTGACAGGTTGACATGAAGACAAGTCCTTCGTAGGAAGGAAGCTGTAATCTAAATAGTCAACTTGTAAACAGAGGAAGAGGGATAGAACAAAACACAAACGGCAATGTTCAACGTATGCCTCGCCAGTTACAATATTCTGGGGCTTTTTATATGCATTGTCTGAAGGTTTCTTCTGGTCTGGGACAGGATCGTTAAAGTCTGGCGTGGCATTTGTTATTGTAGTCTCACTCCCAAACAAGGTTTTAAGACTCTGGTTTACACAAAACAAGATCCAGTTCAGGAACGGGTTTTTTAATCTCGCACACAATCTTTCACAGCAACTAATTTATAAAAATACCAACATACAGTGTGCGATCAGCAATATGTGGACAGTGGATTCTAGGGAATAACATTTAAAAAATAGAAAAAAAACCCTGGCTAAAACTGTCAATTGTTTAAAAAGGAAAAGCTCCAGAGAAAAGAAAGTTATGTAATTTAAAATGCAAAGTTGCTAGTTTAGGATAATATATGACTCTCCCTCTAGAGTTAGTTGAGCTCCTATTCCACAGCATTTAAAGTTAAATCACACACAAAATAGGGAGAACAGCACCACCAACAGCAGTCTAGTTTCAGGGTAACCAGTCAGGAGACAATCACGGCATTTACTTCACTGAAATACAAAAGTTTAGTGCATCTATTGTTTATGCCAGGAGAAAGCGTCCACTTTCCGATCTTCAGCCAATTTTAGAGACAGATGGTCAGTGATGTGATTTTACCCGCTATTTACTTCACTAACCTGTGAGAAGGCCTGTGAAATTAATCTGCAAGCTGATATTTTTATCAGGATACTCGTACTTTGCCAAAGATTCACCCAGACCACTGCTTCTCGACACGGCCCCCGTCGGACACCGATACCTGCTCCCAGGCAGACAGACGCAGCAGAAGGCTAAGGAAAGGGCTGCCTCCACTGCCCGGCTCGCTGCCCCGCTGCCGTGCACACAGCCTCTTCCCGCAGATGCCGTTGAGGATTCAGCAGTGAATCCAGGCCACAACCACACAGATCCAAAAGCAAAAACACACTCCCCAGGCTTCTGCCACCGCACCAGTTGCAGAGGCAACGCGAGCCCAAGGAGAGAACGACTGGAATTTTGGTGAACGGTAACTTTCACCTTTGATGCCAGACCTATCCCCTCTCTTTGAAGAACTTCTCTAAAACCTGCTTGAAATGGAACAAAGCTTCTTCACCAAAATTCCGAACTACTTCTGTTTGTTTAAGAGAAAGAAAAGTTTTTTTCAGATTACAACACAGAACAGGGGAAAATGATGGACTCTTACGTGAGGCATACCCTTTCACTATACATTTGTATCAGCCAAGAACAGCAAGCAGCCTATTTATAACATGATTACATTCATCTAGTATAGCTGGAAACCATTACCACAGCATGATAACTAAAAACAATATTTAACCACTATGCATGAAGACACCAGCTGGGGGGAAAAGAAAAAACACACACACACTCCGAGTACTTTCTTACAGATGTCTAGACAATGAATTTAATAAAATCAGAATGTGCCACGCTGAAGAAATGTTGGCGCTCTGAATTTAATGAACTTCGTTACCAGGGACAGCGTTGCATATTCTGCGTTTCACTGTTACGGGCACATTCTGGGATTAGCAGGTGAATGTTTTCAGAGCCAGACAGGTTTACATAGTTCCAAACTTACCTGACTTCTGTCCTTGTCCACTTTCTTAAAACACTTATTCAAGGACAGATTATGTCTCACAGAATTTTTCCATCCAGTGGGTGCATTTGCAAAATACGGGAAGTGTTCCAAGATCCAATTGTATATATCCTTTACAGGCAGTCTTTTGGTTGGCGAGTCCTCGATGGCCATAAATATGAGGCAGCTAAAGGAATAAGGAGGTTTGCAGTTGGGGTTCTGCTTGGCATCGTAGGGCATGTCAGAGTGGGCAGGAGACGGCGGCGTGTCATCACCGATGTCCTGAACGGGGCTAACGCTCCTTAACACCGAGTCCCCAAAGCTTTTCAGCAAGTTCTTGCTCTCGTGTAACCAGTTCAAGTTAGTTAGTTCTTCATCTTCCATGGCCCCTTTATCTAATCGGATGGCAGGCAAAGAGAAATCTAGGTCCTCGTCATCGTGAAGTGCCTTTGATAAATCACTGTCTTGGTAGCGTTGGCTCAGTCCGCTGGGAACGCTTATTCCTGAGCCCTCTGGCTTCTTACTGGGAGGCATGACTGGACCCATTTAGACAGCAGCTCCTGGGAGAGCGAATCCAAAGGAAGGGGAGAAAGAAACAGGGAGAAAAGTTAGCTCATAAAAAGATACCGCATAACATTTTGACAGCTTTTCCCTAACCGGTCACTCGGCCTCTTGCCATCTGTATTAAAAACGACAGGCTCACAGAAACACTCATCCACAACCGCTGAGTAAAATAATCCAACGTCAGGACAAGGGAAGACACTTCAGTCGACGGAGTGAGACGGTAATCCCAAAACACCTCAGTTCCGCGTGTACATGAAGCCCCACACAGGAAACCCGAAAGACGTGTCCCTTTAATGACAAATACACGTATCGAATCATTGAATACTCCGACCGTACCACTTTAGTAAGCATGTGAACTAAAAAAAAAAAAAAATAGAGGGGGCTTAAGGCCAGTTGCTTCAGATTAAGTTCAGCTGTTTCACTTTCGAGGGCAACACAACGGCACGGGGATTAAAGCCGCTCTGGCTAAAGGCTGAGGCAGACAAGCATCAAATCCAACTACAGTCGCAACAAAACTCAGAAATGACAGCAGAACTTCAAAACCAGCAAGGGTGGGAGAAGGGAGGAGGGAAAGCAACGCACGGTAGTTTTGGGACTAGGGCCAAGGCACGGGGAAACCAGCGCCAGAGGAATAGAGCACTTCAAAAATGTATGTAAACGGAGAAGATTTAGCATAAGCTGGACTGTATTTCAAACACGGCAGAAAGCCGAGTCGTTCAGCCCGCCGCGATGCTCAGCAGCGGCCCGGGAATGGTGGGATGCGGTGCCCAGGGCACCACAGCAGCAGGGCCGGGGGGCAGCACTTGGGAGGGCCCAAGCCCTTCAGCCCCTGGGTGAACGGGGCCCCGGCCAAAGCAAAGAACAGCAGACAGGAGCCCAGCTGCCCTGCCTCAGCAGCAGGAGACAGGCTCCCTCAGCTTCTCCATGCAGTAGAACTGCCGGGATTTAGGTCCAGAGATGCGAACAGCAGCGAAATAAAAATTGGAAAGAGTTAATGATGGATTTAAAAACGATGAAACTTCCTGCGCAGACGCTGAACGAGAGCAGAATGACTCCTCGGACCCAAAACGCATCCTCCGCAGTTCCCTGAAGTCACGCAGTCGACGCCATCAATGAGGGGTAAAAAAACGACATGTACGAACAGACCGAGCCACCTATCCCCAGGAGAAACGGAGCAAGAGAGCCCCTCTGGGAAGGAGCCACAGCAGGCTTCATTTCAGCTGCTACAACAGGGCGAAAGCGAAACAGGAAAGGTCCTCAGGTCTTTCTACAGACACTCGCAGCAGCCATTACCGGAGCAGAAACCGGCGGAACTTTTCCGCAGAGCAGCCGGCGCTGACACGTGCCCTCGCACCCGTGTCCGGGAGGGGACCCACCGAGGCACCGCCGCGCGCCCGGCGCAAGTTACGTCCCGCGAGCTTCTCAACAGGAAAATTATGTGATGGCTGACAGTAAAGTAATTTAATTGCACTGTTGCTATGACAACACGCTGCTCTCTTTCTGTTTAATTTGCTTGTGTGCCTGTGTCC